TGGGGATGTAGCTCAGTGGAAAGGCCCTGGGTTCAATCCCCCATAATCCCTCACACACACAGATTCCCTTAGCATCAGCCATTTCTTTTGGTATGTTGCTGTCAATGACCCTATCATTAAATGTGACTGGAAACAGGCCTTGCAGAGGCCTCTAAAGAAGGGAATTGGCGGTGGTAAGCCCTCAGATGATGATAAAGTCCTTGAGGAATGTTTTGACTTTTAGGGAACTCAATTCTGTGTTTTTCCCACTGCCTGTTGATGTTGTGGCTCTTCCTGTCAGTTTAACACTAGCTCCCTGAATAGATCAGTGTGAATTCATATCCTAACAGTCGATCCTTAAACAAAAAAATTAAGGAAGATGACAAATCATGAAAGCCATCCTTTTTTGGCAGTGCTGAGGATTGATGCCAGGGCTCTGTGCATGCTAGGCAAGTGCTCCAGTACTGAGCCATGTTAGGAGCCTTTTCTAGTGTTTGTTTGTTTATTTGTTGAGACAGGTCTTGCTATGTAGTTCAAGCTGGTCTTGAACTCACTATGTAGCCCAGGCTGGACTGAAACTCACAAGGATCCTCCTGCCTCAGCCTTCTGTAACAAAGGTGCCAGCCTGAGTGGTGCAGCACGCCTGTAATCCCAGCATGCTGAGAGACTGAGGCAGCAGAATTGCAGATGGGAGCCCAGCATGGCAACTAAGCAAGATACTGTCTCAAGAAAAAAAAAAAAAGGCCAGGCATGGTACACACCTGTAATCCCAGCACTAGGGAGGCTGAGGCAGGAGGATTACTGTGAGTGTGAGGCCCACCTGGACTATATAGCAAGACCCTGTTTCAAGAGATGCCCCCTCAAAAATGCCTTGTATGTAGCTCAGTGCAAAGGCCCTGGGTTTAATCCCTAGTACTGGGAAAGAAAGGAGGGAGGAGAAAAAAGAGAAGAAAAGACTTCTAGGGCTGGGGATATGGGGATATATAGCATAATGGTAGAGTGCTTGCCTAGCACTTTCAGGTCCAGGGTTCAATCCCAGCACCACAAAAAATAAAAGTAAGTTTCAGTCAGTCAGGGACACTTGGCCACCTTGGCAACAGGAGAGAAAATATCTCAGAGTGGTCCTGACTGTGGACTGGAAGGCTGTCCAGAGCTGTCCCCTGTGAGCCTCACCTCAGTGAACCTCCTTACTGTCACTCTAAGGGACCTGCTGCCTTTGAGCTCACTCTCCCAAATGGTTTGCTGGTGATTGATTTTCTCACTGCAAACTGATGGGCTGGGGCTCAGGTTTCCTCTCCTGTGTGCTTTGTTAGCTCTGCCAGCAGCTGTGCCTTCTCACAAGCACTGGAGGGTGAGCCTGTAAAATAAGGGCCGATTCTGGGCAGTGTGAGAGTCACTCACCTTCGCTAGAGAGAGCTTCTTTCTTACCCTCAGACTTCTGTCCCAGCATATACAGGGATCTGGCACCTTTGGTTCCAAAAAGCCACCAGATTCTGCCATTGTCATTCTCTTCTGGGCTGTCGAGTGGTTCCCTCCAACTGTAGTTAGGTTTGTTGGGCCTTCCTTTGGGTTTTTGGTCTTTGTTTTGAGATGTCATTCACATACTGTACACTTCCCCATTTAAGATGAACCCAGTTCCTCTTTTTTTTTTGTGGTTACCAGGGATCAAACTGCTTGCGAGGCAGGTGGCAGCACCACTGAGCTAAATCCCTGGCCCCCTCCTTTTTTATTATAAGTTGTATCAGAAACTGTTCAGGAAGCAGGAACACAAGTCAGAATGACCACCAGGGCTTTCAGCTTTGCAGGACATCAGGCTGGTGATGCCTCTGTAGCCAGTAGTGCTCCCTACCTGGATGTATGGGAGCAGACCGGTTCCTGTAAGTCCTCCTTTTTCGTTTTTTCTTTTCTAGTTCAGGCTGATCTTGAACTCACTATGTTATGTACCCCAGCCCTCAAACTCACGGCAATCTTCCTGCCTCAGCCTCCTGCATGTTGGGATTACAGGTTTGCAGCACCATGCCCAGCTGGTTTTTTTGTTTTTTGTTTTTGGTACCAGGGATTGAACTCGGGACCTTGCTCTTTCGAGGCAGGCGGTGGAACCACTGAGCTAAATTCCCGGCCACCAGCTGTTTGTTTGGGGGGCAGGGTCTTACTGTGTAGCTTGGGTTGACCTCCAACCTATGACCCCTGCTCAGCCTCCCCAGTGCTGGGCTTACTGGTGTGAACCACCACTGTAGATCCTTTTGATCTTCGGTTTGGAGGGGGGTGATACTTGTGCATACTTGACAAGCACTCTACCACCGAGCTACATCCCCAGCTTTGATCTTGTGTTGGTAGCAGTTGCCTCTGGAATTGGAGGGCTGTGTGGGTTGGCTAAATCATACCCCAGAGGACTCTGTTCTGCATGTCTTCCCTGGGCCTGATTGTGTCTTTTGTGACCTTTGGCACACAGAAGTACCTCTTGAAGGTTTACACCAGCTGGTTCTGGCTGATTTATGAGCAGAAGGTGCCCAATCCTACCGTGTTACCCAGGGTGGCCTTGAACTCATGGCCTCAAGTGATGTTCCTGCCTCGACCTCACTGATAGCTGGGACTATAGGTGGGTGACACTGTACCCAACCCCTATTTTTTTTTTTAATTCACAACCTGTGAGCTTGGTTGTAATCGTAGCTTCTTAGGAGGCTAAGGCAGGAGGATTTGAGTTGGAGGACAGCCCAGGGAATATAGTATAGTAAGACGTCTCAAAAAAACCCCAAAAAACCCCACTAATTTTAAGTATACAATCCAAGGAATTTTTATAGAATTGTGCAGCAATTATCACAGTCTAATTTCAGAACATTTCCATCATCCCCCAACGATTCTTGTGTTCCTTTGCTGACACTGTCTCTGCCCTCCAGTGCCCCTAGCATCCCACAACCACTAATCCACTTCCTGTCTCAGTTGACCTGCCTTTTCTGGACATGTATGACTTAACTCATATGAAACCTTCAGATAAGGAACTTTTAAACTGGTGATAATGGATGATTGCTTTCAGAACTTCCTGCTTCAGAATTCGCCTTTTCTGCTGTGTATAACTACACAGGGATTTACTGGCCTGGGCGGGAGCCTCTGGGGAGGGGCTGTTTGCTTGTTTTGCACAGTAGTGACCTTTTTCATCACTAGATTGGTGATTTGAGAAACATCTGGTTTCATACGTGTTTTGGGAGACGCAACAGACTATCCCCACTTGGTAAAGTAACCTAACTGGCATGAAAACAATTAGGAGTAATGGAAAACCTCTTAGCCAGCCACCCTGTGGCTCTGGGATACTTGGATTTGAGTTCTGCTTATTTAGCCCCCTGTGCAGGTTAGGATCCTTCCAGGCTGGGGTGGAAGGGCAGATGAGGGGTCCAGCGGTCAGGTTCCCTTCGGGGCTTTCAGTCACTGGAGTCCTCCAGGAGAAAGGCTCTTTTGGTGCAGGCCAGTCCGGAAGGGAGAGGCCAGCCTCTGGCCCTTTACATAGAAATGTATCCGCAGGAGTTTATAACATTGTTTCCCTTTGCTTAGAGCAGGCCAGATTTTGGGACTTCTTGAAATCCAGGTCCATCTCAGGTGCTCAGGTGGGAACCATCCAGAGTTCTTGAGCAGAGGTGTGAACGCCATTGCCTGTGGGGTGGGAAAAGTAAGAGTTAGGAAGCCTGTGTCTGGGGCTCTTGTGATTAGGGATTGAAGTGGGCTGCCAGGTGGGGAAGGGCAGAAAGGTGCATTTGTGAGGTGCTGACAGCACCCTTGCCCCCTGACTGCGCTCCTCTGACTCTGATGTCGCAGTGCTTAGCGCTCCCTGACCTGGTTGGATGGAGCAGCATCCAGAAGAGTCCTGGCTTCTGTTCGGGCCTTTGAAAGTCACTGTGTCTGTACTGGTTACATGAGTCTCTTCTGGGCCGCAGGGACAGAATTACTGTGCAGCTGAAACACAGTTGAGGGAGCAGGTTGGACTCTTTGCAGCTGGATGACGAGTTTCTCTCCTGTACAAGAAAGGAATCCCCAAGCAGACACAGGCTTTGGAAACAGCTCGCAGAGGATCTGTCAGCAGCTCATGTGTATTCTCAGCCACTTGTAAGATGGAGAGGGGGTTAGGCTTATTCTTGAGCCTGATGACATCGGTCACTGTGGTCTGCCCTCTTCCGGAACGTCTAAAGGGGAAGGTCTATACAGTATGTGAGCTTCCAAGATGTTCCCAGGCAGCTGAGAGTTTTTGCTCAATTCATGTAAAAATCCAGAAATGGTAAAGTGTAGCTTTATTCACGTTACCAGCCCTGAGCTTTGAACGCCAGCAACTATCAGCTCTCAGGCAGCCCTCCTTGCGGCACAGAACCAGCGGCCACCCATAGGTGTGGGGAACTCTGGCCACCAGAGATGGCAGCTCCCAGCAATCTCCCTTACTCTCCATCCTTCTGTGGCTGCCCTTGGTGTTACCAGCTCTGAGTGTACCGGCTCTGCATGATCTACTCAAGATAGAAGTCACAGCTGGGCAAAGATATGTCATCTGAAAGAGGCTTTATTAGGACTTACGCCACAGCATAAAGGGGAACGGCACACACACTGAACCCACTAAGGGTACGGGGACATTGATTATATAGGAAAAATGGTGGACTTGGGTGTGGTGGTGTTCATGGGCAGCCAGGGCCCATGTGGACCTAATTGAGGAGCGCTGCAAAGGGGCAGAATTATCCAGAGAGGCGACAGGGCAGGATCATCTGGGATAAGTCTGTGTCTGAAGTCAGCTACACCCAAGGCATTTGTCTCCCAAGGCAGCCGTGGGACAACTGAGCCACTACAAGGCCTTTGGGGCAGCCACAGAAGAAAAATACCCTTGGGGTGTGCTGGGTCCTTCTGTCCTGTCTCAGAACTGGCTGGACTTAGGATTCTGTTTGTCTTCTTAGAGATTTGGAAGACCGTGGTCCTCCTCCCACAGGTAGGTGGGTGACCTTGGATGTCAAGGTTGCCCCACTGAGCTAGCCGGGTTCTGCTTTGTGTTTCAGACTTTTGCGGAGCTTCACAGGTAGTGGGGAGATGCCGGGCCTCCATTCCCAGATGGTGGTACAATGTCACTGGTGGGTCCTGCCAGCTCTTTGTGTATGGAGGCTGTGACGGAAATGACAATAATTACCAGAGCAAGGAGGAGTGTCTTGAGAAATGTGCCGGTGTCACAGGTAAGACCGTGGTAGTTTGGGAAATTTTCCTGTTTGGGGGGAGTTGTTGATTACAGGCAGCCACCTTCTGTGTGCAGTTTCTTCACAGCGGAACCTGGGAGCTATTGATTAGAGTTATTGATTATAGAGTTATTGATTAGAGGGAAATTTTCCTGTTTGGGGCAGTTAATGATTAGAGGTGCCCGCCTTCTGTACTTAGGTTCTTCACAGCGGAACCTGAGAGGTTTCAAAAAGCAGAAGAAACAGGCTCAGTGTTAGGTGTCTGCGGCCACACCATGGTTTCACAGCACCTCCCCTCTTCCCAGAGAAGGAGGCCAGCCCCTCTTTCTCCACTTTTGCATGCAAGGCCCCCTGATCCCATTCCACAGGCTTTCCTTTCCACAAGCTGCCTGTTTGGTCTCTGGGCATTCTGGGCTATTTTTACCTCTGGGACAAATGAGCTCACACACAAGCCAGATTACAAGTCAAGTCAACACTGGAACATGTGTCCTGGGATCCATCTTTCTTCTGGCCTTCGCTTACTTACACAGGACTCTGGAATCAAGATAATGTTGACTCTGACAGCCTGACAATTTAAATCAAAACCAGAAGCTCCCGGCTGGGGATTTAGCTCAGTGGTTCCAGCGCCTGCCTTGCAAGCACAAGGTCCCGAGTTCGATCACCGGTACCAAAAAACAAAACCAAACCAGAAGCTCCCACCAGCCCTCCTGGTCTCCGAGCCCAGCATGAAGGACTCCTGAGAGAGAGCTAACGGTGGGGAGGCCTAATCCTTCCCTGATGTCCAGAGGCCCGAGGGTGGGGCTGTCCAAAGCCTCTTGTAAGATTTTCAGTGCCATTGACCAGACAGTAGTATGTGACTTCATGCAGCTCTCCTGCATGAAGGTGACTCCTAAATGGGGCTTCTGTTTTCTCCCCAGCCACTGTCACCACATAAGCCTGCCCCCTTTTGGGGTGCAGTTTCTCTGCTCACTCACTGGCTACACGGTACTCTGTCTTCCTTGGCTTTAAGCTAAGCTTATTTGAGTTGTATGTACACAGGCAACAACAACAATGGCTTTGGTGTGACCCAGGCCTAAAGCAGTGCAGGCACACAGCTCAGCAGAGACAGCAATGCTAGGAGCAGTTTGCTTTTGTCTCAGCAGCGCCTGTAGAGCTGAGGGACAGGCAAGGATTTTAGATCAGACAGGGCAGGCTCTCACTTTCAGGGGTAGCTGTCAAGATGGCAACTGAGGAAAATAGCATTTGTTGTATTTTTCCATCATCAGTTATAACTCAGTGTAGGGGAAGAGTCGGGAGATATTTTTTGCCCCCTCTGAAGTATTGAGTACATGAACATAAGATGGGGTGTTGCTATGGGAGATGGGTTGCATTTTGCTGGAAGAAAGCAGATTTTTGGTCTCCCCAGAGGTGGTACAGATCCTGGCCTCAGCCCTGAGGGCCCAGAAAGCTTATTTGTGGACATCTGGCTGTGTCTCTTGAGACTTTCTCACAGGAGCTCATGATGAGACTTGGAAGCGGCCGACCAGCTGGTCCCCAGAGTCCTGTGCCAGTGTGTTCTCTCCTGGGCAGGAAACTCCGGGGGAGGCCGAAAGAGGAAGAGGGTGCCATTTATTAATTTGTAATGAGAACTAGAGCCACCCCGGGGACCAGACACTCACATCGGGGCCTGGCATGGGTCCACATAGGCAGGCCCCATCCACATTGCTGGAAGACTGCTGATGAAGAGCTGTGGAACCGGGGCAGCTGGTTTGTGAGGTAACTGTCGGATGGTATCAGGTTAGGCCAGCCTGGGCCGCTGGGACCCTCCCAGACCAGCCAGCCTCTCCACACACTACCTTAACATCACATAAAACTAACTGCTATGGGCTGGGGATTTAGCTCAGTACCACCATGCCTGCCTCGAAAGTGCAAGGTCCTGAGCTCGATCCGCAGTACCAAAACAACAAACAAAAGCTGACTGTTGGATCCACTTAAGTGTTCAGTTTAATGGTATTAAGTTCATCAACACTGTTTCACACCCATTTTAGTTCTTTAAGTAGATACAGTTAAACAGATTATTTGGCCCTGGATGCCCTTTTGTCATTTTAGAGGCACTTCACATGAACTTGGATTGCCTGCCAGTTGACCTTCAGGTTAACCCTGAGAGACATTCTGGATTCCTCATTTCCAAGTGGAGCAGGCTTGTGAGGTGCAGCATGTGTGCCGAAGGCTATGTACAGAGATGGGAGCTGCATGGGAGGAACAGGGCCCGCTACACCTGCTCAGCTACTCAGACACAGTCGTCTCTCTTCAGCAGCCCTGGAGGTGCTTTTCTCACTGTCCTGTTCATTTGTCCCCTTGCAGAGAATACCATTGATCGCCTGAGCACGAGGAGGAGTGGAGCAGAGTCCTCTGTCCCAAGTGGTAGGTTCTTTAAGACCACTGGAAGGAGGGCTCCCCAGATGGTAACGGAAAGGACATCTGTAATCTGGGCGTTGTGAAGGGTTTCTACTTGGTTCTGCTGGCTGGGGATGGCAGACCAAGGACTGCCTGGATAGCCAGCTCCTCGCTTCAGCATCCTGCTATCCAGGAGTCCCCTTGTCCACCTGCCAAGAAGGCTGGGGCTTCTGCAGTACCTTGAAGCTGCCTGGCTTCCTGGAGGATGAGGTCACTGTGCCTGTGGCTCAGACCTCTGCCTGCTGTGCTCTCTCCATTTCCCTGCTACACTTCCTTACCTGTTCTACCTCCTTTCTTCCTTGTTGCATTGCTGTCTCCCTCCCTCTGCTGAAAGTCTTCTGTCTTCTGCCGCTCTGTCGCTGCAGTTCTTGATCTCGAGCTTTGTGTTAGCTTGTTTTGTAGTGCTGACAGCAGCCGCCCCACTCCTCCTTTATGTTTAAAGGACTCTGCAGCAGGAGCTTGGGTGAGTGGCCCCACACAGCAAGTTGCACATGCACCCGAGAGGGCCACCCCAGGCAGTGGTTTCTGCACAGAGGGAGGGATGATGGGTTCCACCCCAGCCCCTCCAAGGGTGAGCCTGCCCAGACAGCCAGTCACACACGCTGGTTGCAGTCTGGGCCCCAGGCCTCGGACTCTGCTGGCAGGGCCCAGCTAAAGTGAGCATTTTATTTTTTATTATTTTATTTTATTTTGGTACTGGGGATTGAACTCAGGACCTTGGATTTGCAAAGCAGACCCCTAGGAACCACTGAGCTAAATCCCCAGCCCTAAAGTGAGCATTTTAGTTCTGGGGCTGGCTTCCAGAATGCCAGTTAGGCTAGAGTCTCTTTGCACTTGTGCAAGGCCAGTAGTCCCATGAGTATCATGGCATTGCTCTGCCTGGGCCCACGCTTTATTCCCCTGCTGGCCTCTCCAAGGTCATCCAGAGCCTTGGAGCCCTGGCCTGGTGACTCTGGTTTTCATCCTGTTTCAGAAGAAAATTTCTCCATGAGAGTGAAATTTCTGGCTGTGTCAGAAAATGTCAACAAGCCTTTCTTCCTTACTTTCATGGTGGCGTGTGCCTCTTTTTCAGCTTGCAGAAGGACTGCACGTTCAAGGCCAGCCTGGGCAACTTAGACCCTGTTAATAAATTAAATAAATAAATTTATCTTCTTGATCCCACCAGAAACAGTGCTGGGATTAGTTTCCATAGTAAGCTGAGGTGGCAGGAGGGCCTACCTCACTGAGGGAATGGTTCAGTGTGTAAGTGCTCTAGAGCCCATTAGGACTGGGAGGCAATGTGGTCCACACCTTTCCCTAAAGGTGACATTCCCTCACTGGGCCATTGTAGACTCAGCCCCTGCTAGGCCACATGTCCTGTGTCCATCCTGGCTTCCCTAATACATGTTTTGTGTTTCAGGTTCCAGAAGGCAGGATTCTGATGGCCTCTCTGATGATATCTTCAACTATGAAGGTATAACTTTTTAAAAAAAATTATGAATGAGCCAGCCATGGTGGCACAAACCTGTGATCCCAGCACTTGGGAGGTTGAGGCAGGAGGGTCACTGAAAGTTTGAGGCCAGCCTGGGCTACATAGTGAGTTCAAGATCAGCCTGAATTGCAGACTGAGACCCTCTCTCCAAAAAACTAAAAAAGACAAAAAGTTATGAATGAGTCTGGCATGGTGGCACATGTCTGTAATCCCAGCACCTTGGGAAGCTGAGTCAGGAGAGTCTCATGTTTGAGCCCAACCTGGGTAACTTAGCAATTTAATGAGACTTTGTCTCAAAATGTTAAAAATAAATAAAGAGCAGGGGATATCACTCAGAGTAAAGATCCTAGGTTCAGTCTCCAGTAGTGGGGGGGAAATTTTATGCATGGGGCAATATGATTTCTTAATTTTTTTTTTTTTTTTTGGTACCAGGGATCGAACTCGGGTCCTTATGCTTGCACAGCAGGTGGTGAACCCACTGAGCTAAATTCCCGGCCTGCAAAATACGATTTCTTCCTGGGGATTGAGACATACCTATGGGTTTCTGCTAAGGGAACTGCAGAGCTTCTGGGCCTTTCCCAAGCAGAAGCACTCGGGTTAGGGTCAGAGACGTCAGGCCTTAGTGGATGTCCCAGGTTGGCAGGAAGCAGGATGTGCCAGCAGAAGAGGTTTGCTTCAGAGGCAGCAAAATGTGGAGTTCTAAAATTTAACTACTGCGCCTCTCACCAGCTATGTGGCCAGGGGCAAGTTAACTGTCCCTTCACCTCAGTTCCCATGTGGGAAGTGAGGGTCAGAGGATAGGCCTCCTGGAGGCTGAGTCTACATGGAGAGTGTCTGGTGTACTATAATCTCCAGACGAACAGTCTTGGCACCTGAGCCAGGTGTGGTGGTGCACGCCTGTAATCTCAGCACTCAGGAGGCTGAGGCAGGAGGATTGCTGCCAGTTTGAAGCCAGCCTGAGCTACATAGTGAGTTCCAGGACAGCCTGGACTACATAGCAAGACCTGTCTCAAAAAGCCAAAAAAAAAAAAGGTATTTGAAAAGGTAAGGCAGAGGATCAGCTGGGCCAGCTGGCCCTGTCTGAAACTCCCATGGTTCTATGCCAGCGACACCATGTTTTCCCTTACCTGAAGCTGTGTCAGCTCTGGAACATTCCAGCATGGCTCCTCTCCTGGGCCCTGCTCATCTGTGCTCCTCGGGGGCTCTTGCTCTTGCAGAATACTGCGCTCCCAAGGCAGTCACTGGGCCTTGCCGCGCAGCCTTCCCACGTTGGTACTTTGATGCCGAGAAGAATGCCTGTGATGTCTTCACTTATGGGGGCTGCCGCGGCAATAAAAACAGCTATCGTTCCAAGGAGGCATGCATGCAGCGCTGCTTTGGTGAGTGCCAACTCCAGAATCAAAGACGTTGTCATGCACGATCCTCCCTCAGGCTCTAGTCCCATTCCCTGTCCCTGACACAAGGGCCCTGGAAATGCCAGCCTCTGTGCCCCTGGAAGAGCTGGAAGCCTCTCAGGAGACCTCCCTGTGGAGGCCCAGCCGGCTGCTCAGTGGGCTGGGGAGGGCTGTGAGCTGACCCCACCCTCCCTGCCTTGTGTCTTCTCTTCCAGGCCAGCAGATGTATCCTGCCCTGCCCTCTGGCGCTAAAGGTAAGTGGCCTCCTGTCCAGTCCTCCCCATCTCCTGCCTGCTGCCTTCTGTCCTTGACTAAGCTCTGCCCTGCCCGGCTGTGATTTCTGCAGGCTCATGTTTTAGCCATGTTATCCTACACTGTAAATGTCTTTGTGGTGGAAAGCTTGTCTCTACATGAGAATGGGAGGCAGCTTGGCACACTTGGTGGACATTTGTCCCACCACACTCCATACACAAACACAGCCGGCCGTGAGTCAGTCATCCCTGAGGCCATCTCCTCCCAGGAAGCCAGGGAGTGGCTGGGGGACAGGTTTCCTCTGTGAGCTGACCTGAGTTTGGAGGAAACTCTGCTGTCATGGGATGTAAAGAGTTGGTCAGGGTGACAGGAAGGAGTGCCGCTTGGGCACTATTGTCCCAAGCAGTCTGGCCTGACCAGGGAGTGCAGTGTCCTACTCTTGTCTGAGTCTGAGTTGTGAATATGGTGATGACACAGAGGACCTGCCACACTGGTTTAGCCTCTTTCTGACCTGTTTCCCTGAGGAGGAGCCTCCACCTGGCCTGCAGGTCAACCTCCCCCTGGAAACTGGAACCCAGTTTCCCAGGTGTGGGGCGGGGTGGACAGGGTCTCAAGCTCTGTAGCCAGTGGAGGAGGGGAGTCAGGTGGCTGCCACAGGAAGAACCCCGCCTGGGAACTAACCCGTGGGACCACAGCGGGCAGTCACCATTACCTTTACGTGGCAGCTAATTAAGAGCACAAGGGTACCTCTCAGCACTGCTTCAGACACACCCTAGCTCCCCTGATTGCATTCAGCAGGCAGCCATCCCGACCGGAGGGGCTGTGTGTGTGTGTGTGTGTGTGTGTGTGTGTGTGTGTGTGTCCCTTACTGGAGATGGAACCCAGGGTCTTCACACTGAGCTACATCCTTGGCCCTTTTTAAAATTTAAAATTTTATTTTTAAAGTGGAAAAGAATTTATTTAACTTTTGCTGTATCAAACAACAAAAGCAGCCCTTTTTTGTCATCAGTCATGAAAAGGACATCACATAGCCAGGTGTGGTGGCGCACGCCTGTAATCCCAGCACTCAGGAGGCTGAGGCAGGAGGATCACTGCCAGTTCGTGGCCAACTTGTGCTACATAGTGAACTCAAGGCCAGCTTGTATTACAAAGTGAGACTCTCCCTCAAAAAAACCATAAATAAATAATGACATTATTTTTTATTTTGAGACAGGAGCTTACATAAGTTGCCCAGGTTAGGCTTGAACTAGCAATCCTCCTGCCTTGGCCTCCCAGAGTCCTGGGATTACAGCTGTACACCAGCACACCTGGCTGAGGTTGAGTCTTTTTCTGTTGCTGGTCAGGGGAGGTGTGTGGAAACGTTATACTGCAAAGGGTTTGTGTCCACACATACCAAGGGTGACCAGTGTTGCATCCTGTGGAACTCCCATATAGGTAGCCCTAAAAGGTGGCAAGGGTTCTTTTCAAAAAGAAGGAACACAGGAGCGACTCTGATGGCATGACACTCCTTTTTCAGAGGGTCTCCTCCCTGATCTCCCTGGCAGGCCATATCTCCCCAGCTGCAGTTCTCCAGACCTTTCCAGGTTGGGGAGGGGACAAACTCGGGGAGCCACTCTACTGCCCCACTCAGGTCGGGGCCCTCCTCGCCTCACTCGGCTCCCCTCTCGTCCCCAGTGATGGTGCTGGTGGGACTGTCGGTGATGGCCCTGATTGTCCTCATGGCCACCTCTGTGGTCTGCCTGATCCGAGCGGTGCGAAAGAGGCAGGAGCGCGACCTCCATGCTGTCTGGACCTCTGGGGACGACAAGGAACAGCTGGTGAAGAACACATATGCCCTGTGAAGGCCTTGTCACCAGGAGAACTAGAGGAGGGAGGGGTGGGAGGATGTGTGTGTGTTTTTTTAAATAGAGTGATTGTATCTGTGAGATCATTAGGGCTTCAGTCTGTCTGTACTGTACTTGGGTGTGAGGAGCTGCTTCAGGTCCGGGACTGCTTAGGGAACCCTCAGAGGAAGGCGCTGCCGGCAGCCCAGTGTTTCCTCCTGGCTTTCCATCCTCTAGTGATGGTGTTCTCAGCTCATGTCAACCCCACTGCCTGCTTTCTTACCCATCACAAAGTAATGCTGTTGTAATAGGTTCCTGTTCGTTGTTGTTGTTGTTGTTGTTGTTGTTGTTTTTTAAGTAGAAACACGAGGTTTTTTGTTTTTTAAATTAGTGTTCTAAAAGGAAGAAAATAAAATGTACAAGTTTAATAAAAGGGATTTCCCTTTTAAAACTAATTTCAGCTTGTGGTTTCTTTGACAGGACTACGCATTTACACTTTCACCATAATCATTTCAGGAGTCCATGTGAGGTGTCCCCTTCTCCAAACAGACCCTTTAAATAGCATCTTTTGGATCCTTTTGAACACAGCCCGTGGTGTGAAATTAACTTCACATTGCTCATGAAGTTTTACCAACCAGCACTCAGCCTTACATCTGTAGGCAACTCTGATATTTTCTTATTCTTTGTCACATTTTAAAAACTGGCCACAGCCCACTGAGTTGGTTGTTGTGACCCACCCATTGGAAGACCACCTTGGAGGGAACGGGAGGGTTGGGATGGAGGAGCCCTGCCTGGGGAAGGCCCTCTGGAGGTAAGAGGGGTTTTAACCTCCCTTGGGCTTCTGTGACCTTTGTCTCCTGCAGTTTGTTTATTTGTTTGTTTATTTATTTATTTGTACCGGGATCGAACTCAGGCCCTTGCCCTTGTGAGGTGGCACCACTGAGCTAAATCCCCTTCCCTGTCTCCTGCAGTTCTGCAGCCTCCTCACTCAGAAGCAGGGAGAGGGTGGCTCCTGAACTATCCTTTCATTGCCTTCCCTGACTTTTGTCACATTTCCCACGCTCATGTTGGAACAGGCCAGACCACCATGTGGCTGATTGGGCCTCCAGACCAGGCCCAGTCCTGTGGCCCACGTGTGAGCTTCCCTTCCTGGAGCCCCCATCCCCCACTACCCTTCCACACAGGTGGTCCTGAGGTGGCACCTTGGAAACCCTGAGCTCAGCAGGCAGCGTGGGTGCCATCTGCCTCCATGACTCCTGGGGGTGGCAGGATTCAGCCATGCTTCCAGATGCTGCTTTGGACTCTCCTGGAATAGAAGGATCTGGTGCCCTTCCCTTGTCCTTCCTAGAAATCCTGTAGTGCTTAAAAACTGATTCCCACAGCAAGTTGGGGGAATACCTCATCTGCTTTGAGCCTGCCTCCCTCACCTGAGGCAGATGCTGCCAGTTCTGGCTTCTGGCTTCCTCTGCCTGCTAGGCAGTCATCACAGAGGCCCAGTCGGTGAGCACATGGGACCTGCTGGATGTGGCCCTGCAAATCCAGACCCCAGAGCTCCAGGAGAGCCTGCACGTTGGGAGGAGACTGCCCACGGTGTGCAACTGGGCGTCACCTGGCTACTCGGCACCCTCCTGTGATAGGCTGTTGGGAAGGGGCCAGGGGACATGGAGGCAGGGCCCTGGGCATCACTCCACAAGGGAGTCCCTCAGGGTGGTGTCCTGGCTCTGCCTTCCCTCCTGGCTCCTAAACACAGCTGACACTTTCCAGTTTAGGGTGCTGCTGTCCAGTGTGTTCCTGTGACTCCTGCCATGCCATTGTGGCCCTTGAAGCCTGTGTCAGGTTTTCACTTTCCCTGTCATTTACTGGCTGACGGTGGTGCTTTCTTTATTGCAAAGGCTACCCATGTGGGGCAGTAGCCAGGGTATTCAGTGGGCACTGCACACCGTACCCTCGTCCTCAGGCTGCCTTCCTTACTAACAGGGAAGATAGGCTTTTAAACATTCACTCAAGGCTGGGTGTGGTGGGACACACCTGTAATCCCAGCTACTCAGGGAGGCCAAGGCCAGAGAATTCTAAGTTTGTGGCCAGCCTAGGGTACTTAAACCCTGTATCAAAATTGAAAAAAGGGGGGACTAGAGGTGTTGGCTCAGTGGTGGAGCACTTGCCTATCATATGCAAGGGCCTGGGTTCCACCCCCAGCATCACACACACACACACAGATTTCTCACTGTGCCTATGGACCACGTCACACACCTTCCTAGTCAGACAGTGGCTGTCCACAAAAAGCTTCTCCCTAGGCTGTCTCCTGGTAAAGATCAGGGCAAGGGGGTGCCCATCTTCAGACCATAGCCTGCAAGTGCCCTGAAGGGACCTGGGGATTGGGAGTCCAGTCTGGCCTGGCTGTTGGGCTTCTGTCCTCACAGACTGGTCCCAGATCATGAGCACAGTGTCTGCCTGGCTGAGTGGCCTGTTTGCAAGCTTCCCTATAGTGGCCAAATGGGAGATAAAATGCATCACTGTCAATTTGTAAAAATGCTGTACTCAGCTCCTCCCTTCACAAGGAGGTCCTTGGAAGTGGCAGTGCTAGAAGGGGTAAAGCTGTGCTTTGGGGTGAACACCCATCTTCTGTCCTTGGGGGATCAGCACTGCTCCCTGGCCAAGCATTCACCTGCTCCACCTGGGTCCATCAGCATCTGCAGCTGGGACTCTGCCCTGCCCACTGCCCACACTTTCCACATGGCCACTCACCGTGCTGGCCTGATGTCCACTATCACCATAGCTCCTGAGTGGGGGACCCACCCCAGCACTTCCAAACTCATGGGCCAGCACAGCCTGTGCCAGCTGGGCTGATGACAGATCATGTTTCTGACCCCCACGGAGTCCTGGGCAATTCCCTGTGTGGCACCTGAGGCTGCACTCAGTGGCATTGCCCATGTGACTTACTGTGTGGCCAGTGCGATGGCCCTCCAGGTCAGGCTTGACAATGAGCTAAGTGCCCTGTGCCCCATGCTGCAGGTTTTGTGTTTGTGTGGGGAAGTGGGTCCCTCTCTGTGGGGCACCAGAGCTGTCTTTTGGCTCTGTAGTGACCAGCAGTGACACTAAAAATCAGCAGCTCAGTTTTAACCCCCTTGTATGGCTCCTAATGGATGGCAGTGTGTCTTCCATCTGGCCTGTCTAAAATAAGTCCGCCTGCTTGGGACCCCTGGGCAATGTGGTTGAGGTTCAGTATTCTACAGATAGAGCCAGCTGTGATAGCACACACCTATAATCTCAGTACTGGGGAGGTTGAGGCAGGAGAATCGCTGTGAGTTCCAGGCCAGCTTGGTCTACATAGCAAGACCCTGTCTCAAAAAAATGAAAACCAAAAATAAACAAAAAACTATCACAGACCTGACAGTTGGCTGGGTGGACACCAAGCTTGGACCTTCCCAGCTGGGCTGTCAGCCCCGTGGCAACTCCCAGAGGATGGTCCATCCAGATTTCCTGATGCTGTCTTAGGACATTAAGAGCCTGACTGATTGTGGTCAGAGGCCAGAACAGAGCTTTTGTCTGATGAGAAATGAGAAAGGAAATAGCCCTGCATACTGTGTACTTAAGGTCATCACCATGTGCTTAGGGTCCACCCTTAGGGTCAGCTGGGTTGTGGTTGGTCTTAAAGAAAACAATCTAGCACAGGGATTATGATGTTTATAGGACCAGGCCGCTCTGCACACTCTCCAGGCAAGACTAAACCAGGCCTTGCCGCAGATGTTCCTCCAGCTGACCGCATCCGCCCTGAGACGTGCAGGAACACGAGACCCACGGAAGACTGTCCCTTCCTACAGCCCACCTGCAGTGTCTGGCTTCCCTGTCCACTGAATGTGGCATCCAGAAGCTTCTTCCTAAGGGCAGTGCCAAGGCCACTGCTTCAGGATTGGAGTGACCCCCTGAAGGACATCTGTCCCCTTCTGGTGGACGTCAGGGCAAGCTGATCCTGCTGTGAGCAAGGTCAGTATTGCTGCAGGCCACCTGGGAACACAAGTCCCTTTTTTCTATGGGGGGGGGCGGTAGGGAGGATGCTGTGTACATCCTTTGCACCAAGGCATTTTAGGCAGAAAAAAATCACAGAACCAACGGAGTGGGGAGCAGAACCATTAGATGCCAACGCCAGACCAACAGGGGAATCCTACACTCTACCTGAGCCTGTTGGTTGTTGAGGAGAGACCAGACAGGCAGGCTTGGGGAGAACAAATATGAGCTACTGTCCCTGGACCCAACAGCCATGGGAGATGAAAATTGAATGGCAGGATGCTAATATTCCAGAGAGCAGAAAGCTCACTATACTTTCTGGGCTTCACACCCGTGTTTCTCATCCAAGCATTTGGGTCCACCTTCCCAGCTATGACTGGCTGCCATTTATAAACCTGGGGCATAGGTAGAATGGTGAGTAACAGACACTTCCACCAACAGGGAGTAGCAACAGATGGCCTCCCAAATCCATTTCTGCCTTCATTTCAGTAAGTCTCTATCTAGCCTTTACCACCCCAGCATGGCTACTCAGCTAGAAATGATGTTTCCCAGACTCCCTTGCAGCTGGATGTCCTGGCCAATGGGTTGTGCACAGATGGGTCTGTACCTTTTCCCCTCTTTCTGTCTCTGTCTCTCCTGTTAGAGTGCTGAGGATGGAACCTAGGGCTTTGTGCGTGCTAGGCAAGGGCTCAACCAGTGAACCTCACCTAGGTCAGGTCCTGAAAAGGAAGTGTTGTGCCTTCCATCTGCCCTTGCCCTTCCTGAGGACCTGATGTCCCATAGTTCGGATTAGCCTCTGTGGGTCTCCCTGGAAGGACCCAGGGCAACAAGGCATTCAGAGCCTGGGTCTGTGAGTTGTCTCATGGGGTACACACACCCACCAGCTCAGCCTCATACTGGCTCAGGCTTTCCTGTAAGAGAAAAGGGATGACAGATTTTTTTGGTAGGTTTTTTTGGTACCAGGGGTCAAACTCATGACCTTGGGCTTTCGAGGCAGCCATTGTTTGTTTATTTGTTTGTTTTGGTACCAGGGATTGAACTTGGGAGCTTTCGAGGCAGAACCACTGAGCTAAATCCCTGGCCCTGTTTGTTTTGAGACAGGGTCTCACTGTGTAGTGCAGGCTGGCCTTGAACTCACTATGTAGCCCAGCCTGGTCTCAAACTCACAGTCCTCCTCCCTCAGGATCCCAAGTGCTAGGATTACAAGTTTGTGACACCATGACCAGCTGTCTGTTGTCAGTTTCATGAGAAATAATGATAAGGTGTTGGTAAATGATAAAAAAAATACCATTTATTGAGCATCTGTTTCTATTCACCTGTGCCAGGCAGACTGTGTAAAACCGTTTACCCATGAGGTGAGTTTTGCCACTTTATCCTTGAGGGCGCATAGGTCCAGAGTGGTTAGCTCATTTGTCCACAGAGCAGTGAGGGGTACAGCGAGGAGCCCCCCACTGTCTGCAGCCTGACGTCCAAAGCCCAGATGTAGCCAGTCTGTACTGGTTCTAGCCTATCATGAGCATGCCCCTGACATCAGGTAACCTCACTAATTCCTACTGAGTCACACTGTTCTGGGCAATGAGCAAAGCCGTCTATGTCCCCACCCTCAAAGAGTTATGTTTTGCCAGAGAAGTAAACAGGCAGACACAGACACTTTCTCTCTTATGTTTTTTTTTTTTTTCAGTACTAGGGATTAAACCCAGGGTCTTCATACTGAGCTACACTCCCACCTCTTTTTATTTTTTGAGACAGGGTCTCACTAAATTACTAAGTTGCCCAGGTGGGACTTGAACTTGCTGCAGCCTCCCAGAGTGCTGGTTATTACATAGATAGATGAGTTAGGTAGAAATATTATAGGTAGTCAGATACGGCTAGGTCCTCAAGAGGATTAGGACAAAGGTGAAACACCACAGCTGCAGCCAGAGACATATCAGTTGGAAACTGGGCCTCAAGATGAAGACAAGATGAGGGCTGAGGATTTAGCTCAGTGCCACCATGTCTGCTTGGCAAGCGCAAGGTCCTGAGTTCGATCCCTGGTACCACCACCCTAATAAACCACAGGATGACCAGACTTGCATACTTCCTCAGAGAACAAACATTGGGTCTAACGAAGTCTAGATAGCCATCAGCCACCCCAGTGAGTAACCAGAGACCTCTGAACCCACCACTTCCTAGGAGAACCTTTGTTCTTTCCATCCACGCTTGTTATGTGACTTGTTCCCCAATTGGACCATTATTACCTGTGACTATACTTATAACATCCTTATTGGATGATCATGGCTGGGGTCCGTGTTGTACCCATGTGGGTTTCTCTCTATAAAACTCCCTTATAAGGGCCAGGGATTTACCTCAGTGGCACCGAGCCTACCTCAAAAGCTCAAGGTCCTGAGTTTGATCCCCAGTACCCAAAACAAAAACAAAAAGCTCCCTCACGGAGTGGGGCCCCCAGCCACCTAGGATCCCTCCTCCCCCTCAGGAGCTTTCCTATCAATATATACCTTTCTACTCTTAACCTCTGTTGTTCCTAGAATTCATTCTTTGATTTTTAGAGAACAAAAGCTCGGTGTCTCAGACAGCTAACAGGTTGGGAGATATACTACTTCATATTTCATCTCCCGTATTATTTCCTGTATCACTGGGAATACAGGCCTGTGCCACCACACTCAACTTCTCTCTTATCTTGGAGCCAGCTGTGAGCAAAGCTACAATCACTGCTCATCCCTTTCCCTCATTCAGCAACAGAGCAAAGACCTCTGACTTGTCTGTCATCACTGGTCCCCCACCCCAGCTCATCTCTAACTCTGTCCTGTTCATCCACTCTGACTGCCCTGCAGTTCCTGGGACACACAGGTACACTCCTGCTTCTGTGCCTTTGCACTTGTGTGCTTCTGACTAGAGCACTCTTCCTCCTTAACTTCAGACCTTTACTCAAAAAAAAGACGAAGCTGGGGATTTAGCTCAGTGGTTTCGCCGCCTGCTGCACAAGCGCAAGGACCTGAGTTCGATCCCCCGGTACCAAAAAAAAAAAAGACAAGCCAGGCACAGTGGTGTGTGACTGTGGTCTCAGCTACTTTGGAGGCTGAGGCAGGAGGAACACTTGAGGCCAGTTCAATGCCAGGCTGGGCCACATGAGACCCCATCTCAAAACAAAAACAAAAACCAAGGAAACTTACAAAACTTCAGGGAGGTCCCTTGGTGACTTTATTTTATTTTACATTTATATTTTATATTTATTTTATTTTATATTTATGTATGTATGTTTGGTACTGGGGATCAAACTCGGGACCTTGTGCTTGGAGGCACCACTGAGCTAAAACCCCAGCCCCCCTCGGTGACTTTAAAATCTGACCCCTCCCCAGCATATCATATAATGATTACCTATTCCTCAGGATTGCTGTGTTCTGCTCCCTGTTTTTGCTTTTACAGCGCTGGGAGTGGAACCCAGGACCTCACTCATGGTAGGTAAGTGCTCTACCGCTGAGCTTTACCCTTGGCCCTAAAGACAGGGTCTTGCTGAATTGCTCAGGCTGGCCTCGAACTTGTGATTCTCTTGCCTCAGTCCCCCAGTAGCTGTGTCACCACACCCAACTATATTTCTCTCCTTAAAACATATATATTACTTTTTTTAAAAAGCTTTGAGCTAGGTGTGGTGGCACACACCTGTAATCCTAGCAATTTGGAGGCTGAGGCAGGAGAATCACTTCGAGTTCCAGGCCAGCCTGAACTACATAGTGAGACCCTGTCTCAAAACACACACATACACAAAGGAAAGCAAGCTTTGAGGTAGTTACATAAAATCCATTCCTAACATAAGATTCACTGATTTTTAATAACTTTACTGCCAGGCGTGGTCCACACGCCTGTAATCCCAGCACTCTGAAGGTTGAAACAAGAGGATCACAAGTTCAAGGCCAGTTCAGGTTACATAACCTGTGTCTCAACCACCCCTCATTCTCTCCAAAAAAGCAGCCCTGGTGTGAGATCTTGCTATCTGGCCCGTGAGGAGGCAGACAATGGCTGAACCCAAGCCAGAGGGCGGGCCTTCTCAGACACAGGGTCTGCAGGTCCTTTGGTCTTGGATTGAGGCTCCAGGATTATGAGAAACTGTTTGAGCCACTCAAGTCTATGAATGAGCTACAGAAGTCCAAACTAAGACACCTGCCTTTAATCAGGTAAACCAAATGCAACGCACTATTCTACCAGCACAGGGTAGCTGTCATTCACAGTTAAGGGGTGAGGCAGCTTTCCCAGGTCGGCCTGCTGCTCCCCAGGCTGGGACTGCAACCCAGAGTGCACCAGGCCTAGGCTTCTTGCTCCAATCCCACTGCCTCTCCCACCCTCTGCCCCAGCCCCATTCACGGAGCCCCTCCCCTCCAGGGCCGCCCAGAGTCTGCTCCCCCGTTTCCCACGGAGGAATCCGGATGGAGCCAGGGAGGGGCCGTGAGTCATCGCTAAGAAACTGCAGGCATAAAGGTCAGAAGGGTGTGCACCTTAGAATTCCTGGGGCGGGCAGGTCCCCGCTGCTGCTGCTCCTCCTCCTCCGCCCCAGGGCACCTCGGGGGCCCTCCTGGCCCTCGGGACACATCTGCGCTGGCCACCATGGACTTCAGCTTGGCGGCAGGTACGCTCCGAGAGCTTCGGGTCTTCAGGGTGGGGGATCCGGACTCAGGCCCACTCCGTTACCTGTGCCAAACCACCTGACCCCTCTTCTCTGCAGCCCTGGATTCCAAATCCAAGAAGCCGGAGGGGGCATGCAAGCTGGGAGACCCCAAGCACGGTCCCCCTAAAGCTCATGGCGAGCCAGGGGCAGCCCAGAAGCCGCGGGTGAGTCACTTTAGCACTGGACATATGTGAGGGAGGGGAGGTTGGGGGGGATCTAGTCTTGGAGCCTTGCTGTTCCTCAATCGTCCAACTTGAGGTCCGCGACTGAGGGGTTTCTGCCCTCACTGCCAACTCGCCCCCGCCCAAGCCCTGCCACGGCAGCTCCTCAGATTCCAGTAGCAGCAGCAGCAGCTCCAGCGACTCGGACTCCGAGGGGAAGGTAAGGGCGCTGCACGTCCCCAGCTCACCCCGGGAGGGTCGGGAGGGTCGGAGTCGCAGCCCCAGGCGGTGCGGGCCCGTCCGCCTCCAGCCCCGACCTCTCCCCTCCCCACTGCCCCACCTACAGCCCCACGCTGCCGGCTCCCAGCAGCACAAAGGCACCGCGGACAAACTCAAGAAGCCCAAGATGAAGAAGGACAAGAAAGGGAAGGACAAAAAGAAGGGCAAGAAGGAAGCTGCCCACTGACTGGGCGGGGCTCATTAAACCTCGCTGCCCCCTGCCGGCCGCCCCGCCGACCGCGCCAAGGAGCCCGAGTCTCAAGCGAGCTTCTGGATTTATTGATTCCTTGTGCAGCTGGAGGTCTCAGCACCTTGGCGAGGGGGGCGCGTCGAGGGCCGCGGGGGTGGCCGGGCCGGCAGAGATGATGAGGGCGGTCAGCGCACCAGGTGGAAGGTGAGCCAGTACATGAGCAGGGGCTGCGCCGCCGCCACCGCCATGGTCAGGTACATGCGCAGCTGGTTTCGCGCGCCGCGCACCGGGACCCCCTCGGCCGCCGCCTGGGCCAGGATCTTCAGCCTCAGTGTCCGGATCTGGAGGGCACAGGCGCCGGTCACCCTGTGGACCGGGGTGGGGGCCTGGGCAGACCTCCCGCCTCTGCCCTTCCTACCGCCCCTTGGCAGCCTCGAGGGCAGCCTGCAGGCCAGGCCCAGTGAGCCCATCCTCCCTGTGGATGTCCTGCCTGAGGGGGTGGGGAGCTGCCCCGCTGCTGCCCCACCTCTTATCTTGGCCAGGAGACATGTGTTTGCTTTCAGTGCTGGAGATGAAACCCAGGGCCTTCTGCAGGTTAGCAACTGGTCTACCACCAAGCTACAACCCCAGAATACCACATGACAATTTTTCTTTTTTGCCTTACGGGGAATGAACCCAGGGGCTTCCAACTGAGCTACATCCCCAGCCCTTTTTTATTTTTCTCTTTTTACCTTGAGACAGGGCCTCACCAAGTTGCTGCACTGCCCAGGCTGGGCCCAAACTTGTGATCTTCCTGTCTCAGCCTCCCACAGTGCTAGGATTCCAGGCATGTACCACCACACCTGGCCCCAAATGACAATTTTTCAAGACAACCTATTTTCTAAAACACTCCCAATTTCTTTTTAAAAACATAGCCAGGCAGAGTGTGGCACACATCTGCAATCCCAGCACTCAGGAGGCTGAGGCAGGAGGATCACAAGTTCAAGGCCAGCCTGGACTATATAGTAAGTTCAAGGCCATCCTGAGCTACATAGCAAAACCCTGTCTCAAAACAAAACAAACTATAAATAATGCTGTCAAGTCAAAGTTTGCCCATAGGTCAGATTTAGCCAGCAGCCATCACGTCTGTACTCTGCTTCTTCATGCTCAAAATGAATCCTCCCTGTACCCTGAGGTGCAGTCACTGTCACCCCATTAAACAAAAGGGGATACTGAGGTTTGAACAGGGGAAGTGACCTGTCCTAAATCCAGTGAAGTTCGGGGTCAACCCAAGCCCACTAGGCTCCACTGCCCTTAAACAGCACCCCCAGTCCAGCGGGAAGGGCTCTCAGAATCTCCTTCTAGGGACATTTTGGCCAGAAGCTACCATATAAGGGGAGTGAAGCAAGGGTAAGAGCCCAGCCAGGAGCCGGCACACTGGGCAACCCCAGTGCCCCAACCCCCCGCAGCCTGTCAGGTGCTGCTTCTCCTCCAGCCTTGGCTAGGATGCTTCCTCTTCCAGGAAGGCCTCCTGCCCTGCTCAGTTCAGTGTGGCTCTGGTCTAAATCTCTTCCCTGACATCTGCATGGAGACCCCAGGGACCCCAATTCACCCAAGAGGACTGTGCCCCAGCCCCAACCACACTGAGCTCCCACTCACCATGAAAACAAAGATGGAAACACAACACCAGCCCAGCACCAGGTAGTAGCCCATCTTCCCGAAGAGCAGGCCCATGAGGACGCCGCCGATCATGCTGGAGGGAGAGAGGAGATTGGGATGCGGAAGAGGCCTGCAGGCTGGGACTGCCAAGCAGGGTGAGAGGTACTCACCCGACATATTTGTAGCCCAAGAAGGCCACCAGGTCAATGGTGGTGAGGTCGGTGTTGACGGTGACCAGGTAGAGGCTGAGCAGGATGGCTACCACCTCCAGGGCCAGCCAGGCCAGCGCCGAGCTCGCTTGCAGCCCCAGGAGGTCTGGGGAGAACCTGCGGGCATCGGGTGCAGTCAAGTGGCTGGCAGCTCAGGATGTCCCTGAGTATCACCTGGGGACAGCTCTGTGTGGGTGTGAGGTGGGGCTGGAGACCCAGTGGTGACCAAGATGGATCTGGGCCTGTCCTCATGAAAATGCCTCTCTGGAGGAGGCAGACCTGTCTCCACACAGTGGTACCCGGCAGTCAGGACTGGGCTGAGGGAACTACAGGAGGCTGAGCCCGATGCAGCCAGGAGAGGGTGACAGAGGGGGCTTCCCAGAAGAGGGGACAGTAAGCTGAGGCCGGAAGGAGTAAGCAGCTGGGACTGGGAGGAAGGCCTGTCTCTGCCCTATCCCCGGGGCTTCAACAGTGAATCAACAGTTGTTTTCAGTGCCATAGAGGAAAGGAAGAGAGAAAGGCGGGGGCTTGGCTCAGGCTGAGGTGAGCCAGTGACTGGATGAGAGATGTGGCAGATGAGCAGGTGCAGGCGGGTGATGTAAGGGAGGAACATGTTCCTGAGCCAAGGGATCGGAAGTGCAAATGCCCTGGGGAGATGGCGCAGACCCGGGGGAGGGGACAAGGTGATTGGGCATCACAGGGCTAAGGGTCACTAGGCAGGGCAGAGCGGGGGTGTGGCCAGGCCCGGCTCTCAGATAAAGCTTTCCTGCTGCTGCTGCAGGAGGGTGAAGGGATGGGGGGGTGGGGGAGCTCGTTTAGGTCAGATGAGGAAGAGGCGGATCTGGGGCTGGAGGCCAGGAGGAAGGACCGATTGGAGGGCTACCCGTCACAGGGGATGTGAGGCTCCACATGGGTGGGAGAAAGGGAAGAGACAAGGTCTGTTCTAAAAGGAGAACTGAGACCTCCCTTACCTGTCCTGGGTCCCCAGTGCAAGGCCAGCCACCAAGATGTAGGTGATGAAAGCCATCGCTGTAGGAGGCGGACACAGACACCAGTCAGAGGAGGAAGCACCATCTTGGGGCTCAGGGCACCCAAGCCCTGGCCCTCACATGTTGGCCAGAGGGAGGAGGGAGTGGGGCGGTGGACAGGGTGTGACCTGGAATGTAGAGGTCTGGAGCATTGACATCAAAGCGAGGGGCCACCGGGGTGTCCTGCTGGTACTGCACCTCCCAGTCCTGTGGAGAAAGGAGTGGGCAGGACCCCCAGAGCAGGCACCCCTTCCCTCCTCACAGGCCAGCCGCTGACCCCGAGCCCCAGCCCTCGGCAGGAGCACTGACCTGGTGCAGGTAGGGGAAGACGAGCAGGCCCAGCTTTTTGCCCACATACACGGTGTCCACAGCAAAGTAATACTTAAGCTTGGTGACAGGGATGAAGCGGTCGATCTGGGGAAGCACAGAGCTCAAGCCTGAGGCCCCGTGACCCCTGCTGCCCCTACTCCCACCAAACCCCAGCCACTCACGTTCTTGTCCACCAGCTCTTTGCCCTGTGCGGCCAGGCTGCTCCCGTAGGCCATGGCCATGTTGGACACGGGATCTGCCAGGAAGGCTGCCTGGGGTAAGGTGGAGGTGGCAGGGTAGCCCAGGCCACTGGCTGCCTGCTGGGCCCTATAGCCCCGGCTCTGGGCTGAACTCGTGTCATCGAAAAGCTGGTGGGGGTCAGCCATGCCCGGCTGGGACACTGGGATCCTCCGCTTTGAGGCTGCAGGGGAAGAGGGTAGGGACCTCATTCATTCTGCAGAAACTCTCCCTGCTTCTCCTACCACAGCGGAGACAGGTCACCATGACAGAGCCCTGATTTTGATGTCAGATGGGCTGTCAGGTACAGACTCTGCCATCCATCCTCCATCCAAATAATAATGACGATGATGATGATAGCTACTCTCTTCTGGGGCCAACTGTCCACAGAATCCTATACAAAGTCTTGTGTTCAACACACAAGGTCTCTGTTCCTATCTCCTTCTGCACTGCCTCTGTCATTTGGCTACAGCCACTGGGGCCTCTCAATGCTCCCTGGACACCCTGTCACTCTACTACCTCAGGACCTTTGCACTAGCTGTGCCTCTGCCTGGAATGCTGTTGTTCCATGCCCTCCTGGCTCCCTCCTCTCTCCCTTGAGGTCGTGCTGAATGGAGTTTTCTCCAATCTGACCACCATACCGGCAATGGCATCTCCCTTTGTGGCACTGCTAGCCCCCTCCCACTTCATTAGGTCCATGGAATGAACACAGCAGCAGCTGACAGACTCACGCTTTATTCTATTCCATTTCCCCCATGGGATGGTGAGCCCCTGCCTCTAGATAAGGGTTAGAAGAGACTCTTGGGCTGAACCTGATGAATAAATAAATGGCCACCTCATCTTGCAGAGGTGGAAACCAAGGCTCAGGCAGCTAAATGACTTGTGCACATGGGCAAACTGAGTCCAGCCCAGGTCGGTCTGACAAGTACACGATAATTAAACCCTGGCAGAGGCCTCACGGCCTACCAGGCCCTGTTACCATCACTACACCTTGGTTCATGTGATCTCACAGCACCCTATTTCTTCATCCTGTTTTGCAGAGGAGAAAAGGGAGACCCAAAGAGGTTTGGGCCCTTCATGGAATCATGCAGGCAGCTGGGCATGGTGGCACACACCTGTAATCCCAGCACTTATGAGGCTGAGGCAGGAGGATTGCCATGAGTTCAAGGCCAGGGTGGGCAACATAGTGAGTTCAAGGCCAGCTTGGACTACATACCAAGACCTGTTTCAAAAACAAATCAAAACAAAACAAAAATCATGCAGGTATGAGGCACAGCCAGGTTTCAAGAGCTTATAAAAGGTCAGGGCTGGGGGTGTGGCTCAGTGGTAGAGTGCTTGCCTAGCAGGTAGGAGGCACAGCAAAACCCAAACAAAAGCCAGGTGTGGTGGCACATGCCTCTAATCCCAGCACTTGGGAGGCTGAGGCAGGAGGATCACCCTGAGTGTGAGGCCAGCCTGGGCTATGTAGTGAATTCAAGGCCAAAAGTACATACTGAGACCCTGTCTCAAAAACAAACCAAACAAGACAAAACAAAACAAACAAACCCACAGAAGTTCCCCCTGGCTTCCTGGAGGAAGCAAATGGCAGGGAGCAGGAAAAGGAGAATGGAGGCTGCTGAGGTGGCCTGGATGGGGACACAGGGACAGGCTGTTTCTGTGTGTGTTATTTTTTTTTTGGTACCGGGGATCAAACTCGGGACCTTGCGAGGCAGGTGCCGGAACCACTGAGCTAAATCCCCAGCCCAACAGGCTGTTTCTGGATGGCTCTCCTAAGCAGTAGGGACAGGACTCAGGGAAGCGGGTTCATTCAGGTATGGAGGGAAATAGCTGCCTTTCCAGATCCTGCTTGGACCACTGGGGAAGTGGGGCTGCTGTCTGTTGAGATGGGGAGGGTGTGTGTGTGTGTGTGTGTGACATCAGAACCCAGCACTGTGGCTCAGGGCCCGGCTCCTGACCACCATACAACACCAACAATGACACAGAGCCTCCTATGTGCCCGCACAGGGGGCAAGGGACAGGGTGAGATTAGATGGGCTGGGGAGAGACCAAATCACCCATGTCCAGGAGTCTCTGCCCTAGCTCTCTGTGGAGTGGAGTTCACTGTGGCAAGGCGATGCTCACCAACTGCTCAGCCCACAGGAAGCAGGCAGCCGGTCCACCACACTTATTGTCAACTTACAGCCCCCAGCTTTTCCTCTGACACCCCCCCCCCATCGTGGCATTAGAAATTGAACCCAGGGGTCTTCACACTGAGCTACATCATCAATGCTTTCATAATTTTTTGAGACAGGGTCTCGCTGAGTTGCCCAGGCTAGGCTCTGACTTGTGGTCCTCCTGTCTCAGCCTCCCAGGTGCTGGGATTATGGGGGGCACTGCCACACCTGGCTGACTTCTCTACTTCTGAATCACCTGTAGGCACCTGTTTCTCTTACCTGTCTGACCCCACAAACTTGAACTGAGCACCCTTAGCCATGAGGGCTTCACTGTAGGCACAGCAGATGCAGCAAACGACAAAGCGACAAACCTTTCTGCCTGTGTGAAGCCGAAAAGTCTCCCGACTGATCGCTCTCCAGATCCCTCAAACAGGTGACCCAGTTTGCCACCCTTGCCCTTGCCTTCCGCCTCTCACCTTCAGCAGTTTCACCCAAAGCGAGCTCTCACCACCAAGTACACCTCTGACTTCTGGGGTCCACCTAGAGCCATTATTTGTCTCCCAGCTAGAGACCCAGGTGTGGCCCCTTTCTGGAATTCCCCAGCCTCCCACAGGCCCTTACCTCAAGCTCCAAGCCCCCACTTCCGCTCTGTCTGACATCAGAGCTGGCTAATCCTCACCCACTATGTTCCAGTGTGATCCACCCTCTGACTCTGTCATCTCCAACCAGATTTAAACATCCGACCTGGTCCCCCAGCCCACCCTTCTAAGCCCTACCAACCTTCAATGGGCAGCCCGTAATCCTTTTACTACTTTTTAATTAATTAAATTTGTTTTGTTTTGAGACAGGGTCTCCCTATGTAGTTCAGGCTGGCCTTGAACTCATCAGGTAGCCCAGGCTGGCCTTAAATTCGTGGTGATCCTCCTGCCTCAGTTCCAAGTGGTAGGATTACAAGTGAGTGCTGGGAGGATTATAGGTGTGTGCTATCATACACAGCTTAATTAATTTTTTTGTAATGGTAATGAAGACTGAACCCAGGGCCTCTGCACTGCATTAAACTCCAATCCCTTTTAAAATTTTTATTTTGAAACAGTGTCACTAAATTGCCCAGGCTAGACGCAAACATGTGATCCTCTTGCCTCAATCTTCCAGAGTGTGGGCCACCATGCTCAGCTTTTTTTTTGACAGGGTCTTCCTGTGTCATCCAGGCTGGCCTCCAACTTGCAGTCCTCTTGTCTGAGCCTCTCATGAGGGCTGGGATTACAGATATGCCACACCATGCCTGGCTTTCCATGATCCTTTTATTTATTTATTCTTGGTTTTTGCTCTTTTTTGTTGTTGTTGCTACCAGGGATGGAACTCGGGACCTTGCACTTGCCAGGCCGGCGCCAGCTCTACTGAGCTAAATCCCTGGCCCATTATTCTTGTTTTTTTTTTTGAGCCAAGATTTGCTATTTAGTTCAGGCTGGGTTTAAACTCACTAAGTAGCCCAGGCTGGCCTTGAACTTGCAGCAATCTTCCTGCCTCAGCCTCCCTGAGATTACAGGTGTGAGCCACCATGCCAGGCCTTATAATCCTTTTAAGTGCAAGTGAAGTGCCCATTGTGCTGAAAATCAAATCTAAACCTCTACTAGGCCCTGTGAGACCAGCCCTGCCAGCCACCTCTGCTCCAGCCCCAATGGCCTCCTCTCTGGATGTACCCTGTGGAGTGCCTCGCTCCCACAGGCTTCTGAACAAGCAGCACCATGCTATCACCTTGGAACATCTTCCCTCTCTCAGCACCTGCACTCAGGCCTCTGCACCATCACTCCTTCTCTGAGGCCCTCCTCACTCCTTCATAGTAAGCACCAGCCCGGCTGGCTCTTAGCCATAATATCCAGGTCTTTTCTTCCTTTCTGAGCACTTAGCAAAGCTTCTAAATTGATACTCATTTGTCTACTTCTTTTCTTGCCTTCCTTCCGGCTGTAAATCTCCTTCTAGGTAACTGCTCATTGTTACTCGTACCCTCTTCCAGGAAGTGCACTGACAGCCCAGGCAGATGCCACCTCTGGACCCCCACAATGGACCTCTCTGCCTGCGCCCCCCCATCCCATCCCCAATCCTCCACATGCACGTCCCCTTCCATCCCCAACCCTGCCTAAGCTGCCCACCTACCCCTGAGCCCTCTGCCCTGGGTTCCTCCCATTACAGCGCCATTACTCTAGACTGTCACTGTCATCTGCTGTTACTGGAAGCTGCATGAGGACAGGAACAGCGCTTACTGGGCACTGCTGAATCCCCTGGGTCCCTCACCACAGGGCCGGCCAGGTACCTTACTGACTGAAAGGAGAAACAGCACATCCTCTTCTTCAAAAGAGAGGTCTCCTCAACTTCTCGTCACGTCCCAGATTATTGTCTTCGCATCCCTACTACCTCTCAAATCTCTTGTTGACTTGTTTGCTTCATACTTAAGTGTCTGTCTTCCCACTGAACTCTGATAATGAGAACTGAGCTATGCTGCTTAGTATTGGGCACCCAAATTCCAACACAGGGCCTGGCACAGGGGAAGGTGAGGGAATGAATAAATGAATAGCACAGTTTAGTATAGAAATGAAGAACTTAAAAACAAATTCAGAGATCAGAAAAGGAGGTTAACAGTACAGTAAATACAGGTTCAAATCTTAAGTGGGGGGTAAGCATGGCCCACTTCGCCAGGAGGCGGTTGTAGTAAGGGGCGTGGGCGACAGCTCGTGGACACTGGGGAAACTCGCGAGGGTGGGAAGCAGAGGAGGGGAGGTCGCTAACAGCAAATGAATGAAAGTCGCGTTTCTCTGCACATCACACAATATCCTGCCCCAAGTTGTTTTCTTTTAAAATCCAAAGGAATTTCTTAAAGAATCTACCCCCATACGCCCCCTACCTGGACCTGGCATCTCTGCGTTGTGCACACCTCGAAACTCCGGGTCCTCGATCTCGTGACCCCTGACCTGTAGTGACCTCGCTAACCGCTGCGCAGCGGCCCCGCCAGGTCCCCGCCCGCCAGATCTCCTCGGCTGGCCACGTACGCCACTTACGCAGCCGGGGCGTCCCCGCCGCCGCCGCCGCCAAGCCTGCTGGGTGCATCTTTCCCCGCCGCCGCCGCCTTTACCACCGTTCGGAACGTGCACGCCCGGCTCCCGTAGCCACGCCCTAGAGGTGCAGCTAGCCAATGAGTTTCATGATTGAGAGGAGGCCACGCTCCAGAAAGCCCTGGCCGAATGGGAGATGGCTTACGTATGAGGCGAGAACTGAGGCCGGTGATTTGCGGCGAGAGGCAGGACCCGAGGGACAGAAGGGTGGGGCCTGGGACGTACTGACGAAAAACGTAGATGGGAGGTGTGGAGCGAAAAGCGAGATGGGAAACAGAGTTTTTTTACAGCCAGGCAGTCAATTTGAGTCTCTGAGAGCACTGGGGAGCCAGAGCAGGGTGTGGGTCGGGGGAGGAGAGGTCTATTTGTGCTCCCGAAGGACTAATTGGATACAGTTGTGCGAGCTCTAGTCCTTTTACAATTTTGGCATTCCTAATGTTTTTATGATTTTTGTTTTGTTTTGTGGTATTGGGGATTGAACTCAGGAACTTCGCACTGAGATACATCTTCAGCCTTTATTTTTAAATTTTATTTTATTTTATTTTTGGTAGCAGGGATCGAACTCGGGACCTTGGGATTGAGAGGCAGGCAGCAGAACCACTGAGCTAAATCCCCGGTCCCTTCAGCCTTTATTTTTAATATGTATATTTTTATTTTAAGGGGTCTCGCTAAATTGCCCAGGCTGGGCTCAAACTTGCTGTTTTTCTACCTCAGCCTCCCTAGTAGCTGGGATTACAGGTTTCTGTTTGTTTTGAGAGAGTCTCGCTCTGTAGCCTAGGCTGGCCTCGAACTCAGGATCCTCGGGTCCTGAGTTCTGGGATTATAGGCGTGTGTCCCCGTGTCTAGCTCCCTCCTTAGGTATCAAAGTGAATAATGAAAAAAGAACATCCAGCAAGTTAGATGTTAAAATCTTGTATCTAGGGCCCGAGATTTAGCTCAGTGGCGCCACCGCCTGCCTCGCAAGTGCAAGGTCCTGAGTTCAATCAGTACAAAACAAAAAAAAGTGTCTTTGTTCAAAGATACCTTTAGGCTATTTCCCAGAAATTCATGCAAATGTTCTCAGGTTGTGACTGTTTCCTCCAGTGCCTGGTGTCCACCAAAGACCATCAACAACCCCAGCAGCTCATGGCACCTGCTAGTGCTGAATGCTGAGAACCAGCTTCCTTTGTTTCTCCTCTCTCTGCCCCTCACTGCCCCCCCCTTTGTGTCCCCCACCTCTTCCACTTATCGCAGGCAGAGACAGTGGTGGAAGTGACTTCTGGGCAGTGATAGCGCTCCAGAAGGATGGCAGCATGTGACCCTGTCACAGTGGCTTCCCTTTCCTCCTCTGAGACAGTGGCTTTTGGGGGAGCTTGAGGACTGCCCCTGGGTTCTCAGTAATGAGCGCAGGCTGAATTAAGATCCTTTTTATGTACAATGCCCATTCCTCTCTGATGTAGCATCTGTCCTTTAGGCTTCACCACCATTCTCATCTTCAGCCCTTTCTCTTGCTTCCAGATTAAGCACTTCTGTAATTATTTTTTAATTAATAAAGTAACTATTTTGGCTTCCTGCTGACCTCTTGATGTTTTGGGGTTTTTTGTTTGTTTGGTTTGAGTTTTTTTGAGACAGGGTCTTGCTATGTAGTTCATGCTGTCCTTGAACTCATTATGTAGCCCAGGCTGGCCTCGAACTTGCAGCGATCCTCCTGCCTCAGCTTCCTGAATGCTGAGATTACAGGCATGCACCACCATGCCAGGACCTGCTGGCCTCTTGTGTAACTATAGTCATCCTTCAGTATCTGTGGAGAACTGGATCCAGAAACCCTGTGGATACCAAAATCCTTAAACACTTAAATCCTTTGTATAAAATGATATAGGTCAGGTGTAGTGGCACATTCCTGTAATCCCAGCTACTTGGGAAACTGAACCAGGAGGATCCCAAGTTTGAGGCTAGCCTGGGCAATTTAGTAAGACCCTGTCTCAAGATTTTAAAAAGGAATGGGGGTGGGCCGGGGATGTAGCTCAGTGGTGCTGCACCTGCCTGGCAAGTGCAAGGTCCTGAGTTTGGTCCCTGGTACCAAAGAGAAAGAAAAAAAAAATGATGGGGGTGTAGCTCAGTGGTAGAATGCTTGCCTAACATGCACAAGGCCCTGGGTTCAAACCTCAGGACTGTATGAGAGAGAGAGAGAGAGAGAGAGAGAGAGACAGAGAGAGACAGAGACAGAGACAGAGAGACAGACAGAAATAGAGCCCGGGTGTCATGGTGGTGCATGCTTGTAATCAATCCCAGCCAGCACTCTGGAAGGCTGAGGCAGGAGGATTACAAGGTCCAGCCTCCAGTAACCCCCCCCCCAAAAAAGAAAGAAAAATGTAATATTTGTATGTGCACATTCTTTTGTGTACTTTTTTATTTTATTTTTTACAAGAAAAAGCTATAATTGGAAAATAAGAGAAAATAGTCAGAGACTTTAGCTTGAGGAGCTGACTGACAAAGATCAGGCCGGCCTTTATGAAAGGAGGGTAAGGAAAGGACTGCACCGTGAGCACTCACCGTGAGGGGCTCACTCAGACGAAGGGGATCAGATTGGCCACCTGGCAAGGGCAGGAGGCCGCTTTAAGGACCAGCTGGCGGGCTAGGGTCCGCTGATCATTTTCTCAGGCCTGGCTATCTGGCTTTGGGATCCTCATGGCTGGGGGGTGGGCCTGGTCCCATGAAAGGACGTCTCTGTTTGTGGTGGCTGCAGTCATGGGGCTCTGGTTTTCCTGGCATCGA